AATGGCATTTCATGAAGTCTAGTTTTTCACATTTTTTCCCGGGGGGCATCCACCGAGACCCCCTAGTTTAGCCTCGTACCTGCGGGCACTCCGTGCAAATCCACACACCTCGGCGCGAGCCAAGCGTGGCGATTTTTCACTTCGCCTGCTTTTTCTCGAAAACACAAGGACTGGGTTGACTTGATTGTGCTATTGTCCTTGCGTTGTGTATTAACCTGTTCGCTATCGCGCTGGCGTAAACGTTGCCTGTTTGAAGGGGATCGTCAGCCGAGGTGTCGATGTGTCCGATGCGGCGCGAGTAAATTAGACACGAGACAGAAGAATGAAATGCTACTGATGATCTTTATTCAGTTGCGCACAAATCAGGTGATAGTCGTACAAATAGCTAGAAGAAATCACGTAAAGATACTACTTGCTGTAGATAACTATTGTGGGCCTACAACGGCGAGTATAAGTATAAAGCGCACGACACGTCTGGAACTAGAAAAGAGGAGAAGATACGATAAGATCCTACGTTTTTTCTAAGGGAGGGTTTTTATATGAGTCGCTTTAAACAGGCGTAACTAGGCGTAACTATCCTTGACTGGTGGTCATTTATTCCTAGTGACAAGGAGAGCGCCTAATCGTTTTGGCGCTCCACTTCGAAGTACACGGGCAATGGGAATTTATTGAGGCAGGAGAAGGCCGTACGCTAAAGTTAGGGTGAGGCGCTAACAGGAGGTGTTGGCCGACATGTTTCTTGGAACTCGCCCAGCTGGGAGGAGACTTCCAAAGTGTTATTGGTCGCCTTACCCGCTGCGTCGTCATGACTGACCGGTGGTCTGCCCGCGCATGCGCCTGTGGCGCCCTGACGTCGCGCGCTAGTCAGAGACACGTGACCGACAGTGCTGCTCCGCTCTCCAGCGTCACGGACATGCCGCTGTGTAGGAGCCAGTCATGCTGCTGGCATCTCCGCTGATCGTGCCGCAGTGCTATCCATCTATTTTAAAACTACTAGACTATTTAAATAGCGCGGGGATTTAAATCTCGCGCGCTCTGTTACACAGCCCCACCGCATAAAAAGTGTGCTTGCCCTCAAATGGCAAGCAACTGCGTCCAAAACCATTCACTATACTCGGCGAGTCTTAAACGTAGACTTCCACGTGTACAATGGTACCTCTGACCTAACTGAATGCGCCGTGTAATATACAATAGCAAATTCATTTTAGGCTACATAACTGCCAATTAATAATCATATGTCATGATCATTCGATTATGCCATACTTCGCGTGTAACGTTAAATCGCGCGTACAACACTCAAATTGCATGCGGTCTGCCCAACAGGTGATAATCATAACCAATGATCATCGTTTGGTAGGTTCATAACCGAATCGCTGCGTGTACGCGCAGTGATAAAATCATTAATCATAAACAAATGATCATCGTTGTAGGTCAATACCGGAATCCATGCGGTACAGCAGTTGATAAAATCATAATCATAAACACATGATCATCGTATTCACTTCTCGCGTTCCCCGTGAAACATGCGCGTACAACACTCACATGCGTGCTCAGTGCTAATTTTTAACGCGTAAGTGCAATTTCAAGTTTTCACGAAAAAGGGTCGGGTGGTAGGGCTAGGGGGTACAATGGAAGGAGATAAGTAAATCTCTCAACGTTTCGTCGTTGTCCCCATCTCTCTCGCATTGTTTTCATGTGCAGTTAGCTCACTCGCTACACTGCCATTGTTATAACATTTATCTTTCCCTGCTGCGAGTTAGGCTCTACTCTCTACACTGCCATTGTTAATACCATTTCATTTATCTTTCCCTGTGCCAGTTAGCTCTACTCGACTACACTGGCATTGTTTATACATTTTATCTTTCCCTGCTGCAGTTAGCTCTACTCGCTACCACTGCCGTTGTTATAGAAACTTTAATCTTTCCCCTGTGCAGTTAGCTTCTACTCGCCTTACACTTGCCATGTGTTAATAAATTATCTTTCCCCTGTGGCAGTTAGCTCTACTCGCCTACACTGCCGTTGTTATAACATTTATCTTTCCCTGTGCAGTTATTCTTTCTATTTTTTACTGCCTCTACTTGGGAATCTGATTTATTCCCGTCTACCTTTCTTTTCCTGACGGTGCGAAATCTTGCTGCACGGTCCGTATCCCCTAACATCCAAATCTTCTTCGCATGTCAAGGCTTGTGGGTGTACTCTCCGCCTCCGCCGGGGTGTAGGACTGATTGCGTCATCAGGCTCCTGAGCCTCAAGGTCACTTGCAGATGAAATCCTGGCCGAAGGATCTCCCACACCGACACTGGCGGCGGTGTTGCTGCCGTGAGTCCAGCATCGCCCAGTGTCTGGGGCGCTTCCAAATTGGATCAATTGCCCGAGACATTGGCGGCTGCGGTTGCTTCGTAGCCTTTGGTGTGGATCCCCTGTTTTGGCGTAGCGACGTCTTGCCCTTGCATGGGTGTGCCTTGCGCGTCACCTGCGTACGTGCCTGTTTGGCATGTTGTTGACATAAGTACACTTGTCATGCTGTACGTTCCCGTCCTCCTTCACAATCTATATATAACTTAAACTGTTACACAGAAAAAGTCTATGATACGATGCTGACGTCACCGCTACTAATGCTAGCGCTCGAATGTCAATGCAAGTGTCCTAGATAGTTGCTTGACGTCGATACTCCAGTGTTTAAGGCACGTAATGTGTACTCAACGTACGTGTCGCCGTTACGCTGCTGTGCTGCTGGTGCTGGGACGGTTCTTCTGAAGCGCATCTGTTTCTTATTAAATCTTGGCTTTTACTTTCTGCCTCCTCTCTCTCGCCGCTGACTTTCCCTTCCGCACGATCCTTGTCACCAGGCTACCAATAATGTACAGGTTTTCTACTTCTGGTGCCCTTACCCAGGGGCTTACCGTGAGCAATCTCTTGATATTGGTGACCATGCTGTCTGTGTCTAATATTTCTAAGTTGGACTTACGTGTCTTCATACATGTCATCGAACCAATGTATGGGATTCAACATCACCACACCC